TGGGCTGCGGCAGTTGGGAAGCTAGGCTTCCTCCATCACTGGAGCAAGCAAGCCTCCAGGTCGCTCCAGCTCCGTGGCTGCCGGCCGCCATCTTGGTTGGGTTAATTTGCATATAGTCTCTCTAATTGGCTGGTGAGCGTGGCTTAAGGTGTAGAGAAGGTAGGGTCAATTTGCATGTTTATCTTTATTAGTGTAGATATCTAATCTAATAATACACAAACAGAATAATTGACCATACCTTTGCTACACCTTCCATTGGCTAATCAGCACGATATGCAAATTAACCAACAAAGATGGCAGCTAATTTGCCTACAGTAGGAGGGGCCAGCGGCAGCGCGCCACCCATGCAACCCAAGCCCCAGCCCCGGACACGGCGAGGCGGGGCTGGCGACAGTACGTGAGCGATGCTGCCTGTGGGCCCCGGGCTCCAGCCCCCTAACCAGGCGAGGCAGCCCGGCCCCGGGGAAGACCCAGAAGCCGGGCAACATGAGCTCAGTATCCGGCTTGGCTGTGTGGAGGGAGGGAAGGGAAGGGGCATCGGGCCGGATTCCGCAGCAAGGGACCCTGGGCTCGCAGTGACATGAGCCTAGCATCCGTGCAGAAGGAGGGGAGGGGAAGGGCCTTGGGCCGGAGTCCACGCCCTGGCCAGGCAGAGGGGAAAGGAAGGGCCTCGGGCTGGAGTACACAGTGCGGAACGCTGGGCTTGCAGCGACACGAGCCCAACATCTGCTCACCCAACATCTCCTCACCCAACATCTGCTCACCGGCTGGGTGGAGGAAACGGAGAGCAGGGGTCTTGGGCCGGAATCCGCAGGGAGCAAAGCTGGGCTCAGGGAGTCCGCCTCCAGGGATGTCCAGTGTCTACGCCCCAGCTGGGTGGAGGGAGGGGAGGGGAGGACCTCGGGCTGGAATCTGTGGCAAGGGACACTGGGCTCCCAGAGTCTGCCTCCAGGGATGTTCAGGGTCCGTGCACCAGCCGGGTGGAGGGAAGGGAGGGGGGAGGCCTTGGGCTGGAGTCTCCGGCAAGGAACACTGGGCTTATAGCGACGCGAGCCCAGTGTTTGAACTCTGGCTGGGCGGAGGAAAGGGAGGGCAGGGGCTTTGGGCCAGAGTCCACGGCGAGGAACATGGTGCTCACTGTGACGCAAGACAGAGTGCACACCGAAGGAAGGGAGGGGAGGGTCCTCAGGCCGGAGTCCCTGGTGAGGGATGCTGGCATCATTGCAGGCCCGGCAATGGGCCTGGCCCACCCCCTCCCCCTGCCCATATTTCCTGCATCGAGCCTCTAGTCCTATCTAATAATAGACAAACATGGTAATTAACCGTACCTCCGACACGCTTCCCATTGGCTAATCAGGATGATATGCAAATTAACTGACAACCAAGATGGTGG